TCTGTGACCTAGGTAACGGCACTAAAAAAATTATTATGAAACATTAGGTCTTCACTCCAATATATTGTGATTATTGTTAAAGGTCTATTGGAAGTAGATTGTCACAAAATTTCAACTTTACAATTAGTATTGTTAATTTTAAAACTTTTCGAATTTTTATCTGCTGTTGATGCGGCACATTGGTTTCATTTATAATGGAAAGCTTATCATTAAGGCTATTACCACGAAATGTATTAATACCGCGTATGTTCAGTTTATCTTTGAGATTAAGAAAAAGTGATACACCAGCAAAATTAATTATTATAATTCCTGTCCTGACTTCCTAACGCCCGTTATCATTTTGTTTTGCGTGGGTTCGTTGATATTCTCTATGAAGTGTTGACTAATGAATTTATTATCAGCACACCAAGGACAAACATCGCACCGCTTTCTTTTTGCTGCTCTATTATTGATTGATGTTGTTAGAACTTGTTGACCAAATTTCGACTCAACTCCTTGCGGAACACCCCATTCCAAGTAGTTCAAAGTTAGTCTATCAATTGAATGGTAAGTGATGTAAGCATTAATTGCTGTAATATTCATGGGATGAAAATATAATGTCCATTCTTTTATAGATAATAACTTCTATTTACCATTGCGAACACTTTTATGATGTATCTATTTTTTGTATGTGTTGTATCTTGTCAATTGTTCACCAAAGATCACATTTTCACCTCTTCCATAATTGGATATACAATTGTCATTTATCAATAAAACATTTCACATTTTTACTCTACATTTTGTTGTGTCATCAGAACGTAGACTTGTTGGAAGAAACATCATTTACTGGATTTGATCTCTGAACAAAACAATACTAATATAATTTATGTATGAACTTTGATACCAGCAATGTACTTAAGTCGAAGCAAATTTTCCCTTTCTTGAACAGTTGTGGTGCTCGCGTTATGAACATACTTCAATGTTCTTTTGCATAGTTTAGTACAATTTTTAGACATCTAAATCATCCAAATCATCTCTTCGGTTATGTTAACACTTTATTATGTACTTTTCTTGTAAATAGTTGTATGATACCACTTCAAAGAAATAATTTTAAACGTGGTTTTGAAGTTTTATGTTTTCATTGTTCTCGTGGTCGTATTTAATTTCATTGCATGAATCATGTTTCTAATACTGATAATCATCTAGAACTTCATTCAGCACGACATCTATTCCTACAGCATTCATATTGATTTCTAAATCATCTATTACGTAATCGTCGTCATCGCAGAGTTTCCTCTGCCAACTTCGCATGTATACGAGGTAACTTCAATATATGGCAACCATGTCGGTATTTATTTTTCAAAAATTGGTATTTTAAAAAGAAAAGGGTTTCCCCAATTACGAAATTTTACTAAAAAATGAAATTATGTTCTTAATTTTACTTCCGTAAATAACCTCATGGGATCATTGCATGAATTTTCAACGGATATTAGTAGGCACATAAAGTTTTTTCATTAGACTTTCAAATAAATTTAACAATAATTATATATAGGTATATACTATATTCCTCTCGGAGTCAAATAGCCCCCATATACCCAATAAGTCTTAAGTAAGAAAGTAGAATGCATTATCTAAAAAGCTTGAAATAATGCAACGCTTTAAAAATGAAACATTTAAACTGAATTAGAAAATATAGATTGTACTGGGATTCGAACTCAAAACGTTCTAATTGTTTTGTTTACGCCTGAAAATGTGTACTTTTTTGTATACAACGACCCATTTGTGTATGTATATGTAGTAGCAAGTCATGCAATTAGTGAGGCAAATTGCACAAAAATATTCCACTTTAATATGGCAAGAATTTTAATAAGAAAATATCTCCTTGAAAATATCCCTATTTATAGTTTTTATGTATTTTTAATGATTTATAACTTAACAACAACTGTTAACGTTATTTTATTGTGATTTATTTGTTTTATGATAGCCTACATCACACTATAAACTTTTTTATTAGCTTTATAAATAAATAAATTGTACTATTTTCTGATATTTATTTAAAACGAACCTTTAATGTATTCATCTTCTTATATAATAGTTCCAAAATAATGGGAAAACCATTACAGAAAATAATCGACAAAACTATGTCCTAATGACATTACCCCTTAATGGACACAAATGTATTATGTTTTCCCTTAATGTTTTTTTGAATACTCTATGTAAAATAATATATTATAAACACTATTTATATAGAGATTTTTTTTTGAATTCGTCCACATGTGTATGAAGAACAATATACAGTTACTCACAAAATTGAGTATACGCGGGAATGGAAAATAGATAATTGTGAATATTTCAAATAATTATTAATTTATTTTAAAGTTCGTGATGTGTACAGGTCCGTTTCGTTAACCAATCCATCGGTTACCATATGGTCTGTTTAAATAATCAGTGGCAAGATGAGAAAAGTTTGAAGGGGCACCTTCATACATAAACCACATTCCCTGCTTATCGGCAAACGGAATGTCTTCTAGAAGCTTATACAAATTATTTTGTAAAAAATTCAAGTCAGATATTCCGGCAAGCTTGGATGCTAAAAAGAAAGTGCCGATGAAATTGTCACCAAGAAAACCACACCAGACATTTAAGGAAAAAGTATGTTGGTAATGAGTAGAAGCAGTCGTATGAGGGTTTTCTTCGTGCCAAGTATGGGTTTTTCGAAAATTAATAATCCCGTTTCTGGTAAAAAAAGATTCGTCAGTAATTATTAGGCAACTCAGGAAGTTAGGATTTCGTGTACATTGTTGAATTAACCACTGGCAGAAATTTCTGCGCTTATTATAGTCTTCTGGTAATAAATCTGGGACATGTGTAACGTGATATTAGATACAACTGTTGCACACGCAATGTTCGCCATACGCTTGTACTCGAACATCGAAAGTGACAATCTTCTGGTGCCAGTTTCCCTAAGACGTATTTCAATGGCTTCAAGCGTTTTACGATTTGGTATCCTTCTACTGGTAAATTTTTCATGGTACCTTCGAACAGCAGTAGCTCCATTTTTAAGTACATCGCTATAAATTAACAACAAACAGACAGTTCTGCAAAAGTGAACAATTATTAGTAGATATTTAAACATCTGTCAAGCAAAAGAACAATATGCGATTGTTGTCCATGGCTACTTGATTAACACAATACTTTCAGATATTTTACTTCAACTTTAAATATCTCGGTAATAAATTAATTTGGGACATATGTTTATTTTGTGCTGAAGAATACATCCCTAAAATAGTGCGTTGCAATTCTGAAACACCCGGTATATTAACAACAATCTTATTAACTAAATTGAATGCAAAATAATCCAGTTTAAATAAATAAATGAATAAAATAATAACAATATTAACAATAATAATAAATTTGAATTTATAACATTTAAGTTTAGGTTGGTATTATGTTTTAATACGTTGTAGGCCCTCCATTGCCGTCCATTGGCTCCACTAACTTTTTGGTGTAGTTTGGCGAGATTCTATCCCAAATTTAACAAATTTCATTTTTCAATTCGCTTTTGGTTCGGCACTTGCCATTTTTTAACTGAAACTTAACTTCTCCCCATAAATGTTCAATAGGATTGATATCCGGAGACTGTGGTGGTGTTTTTAGTTGTTTTGAAATATTGTATCATAACAATTCGTTCACAAAGTATGATGTATCTTTGGGATCATTATTTTGTTGGAACCAGAACACAGTTGGAAGGTTGAGTTTTTGAGAGCTTTGACATAAATTACGCTTTAAAACATTCAAATAACTAAGTTTTGTCATATTTCTCTCAATAAGCTCCTTCCATTGATCCCCACAGCATTACTGAACCACCCCTATCATATTCACAATTATTTATCTTCCATTGTCCTGTATACTCCATTTTGTGAGCAACTGTATATACCAACTACCTGTAGATATATACCTATTTAGTCGCATTTATGACAACATAATATATTTAATACATTATCTCTAAGTAGGTTAACGAGGATCTTTATAAAAAGAAGTACATTTTACGAGTAGGTAAACACTTTAGGGCAGTTAAAACGAAGGTAAATCCATTTTTGATAGAGAATGCGCCCTCTACGGGAGGGAAGAGGGTGGCTTGAAGTCCCCGATTATAGGTTCGTCATCGCTTGTATCGCGTGGCCAATTCGTCGGTTACTTGGCAACCGTTCCGTTACAACTCCCGGTGACATTCTGCTCACCTTTCCTCCTTCCGGGGGGGTGGGTGACCGGATCGGTGGGGTACACGGGCACGTGCATTTTTAATATGTACCGCGCTCATCACTTATTTACGAATCGACGGACGGGCGCGGTGGCGTATACGAACCAACGTTCAAGGGGGGTTGATGTGAAAGGAGGGAGGAGAAGAGGTTTACACGACGGATATAACGATTGGCCGGCCATTTTTCCAAAGCCGACTTTTCGATTGCGACCGCAGGTCCGGCCTAAGTATTTCCGGCACGCGATACTTCGCTTACGTCGAAAGGCGCCGCCACCACTACCGCCATCAACCCCCCTCTTTGGCTTTCGCGTCGTCGTAATTGCCGGTGTCATTCGATAACCGGGAGCAAACTTTGTGCCGAGAAATTTTAATGAGTTGAAATATCGGGTAACGTTAATCCCGTCGGCTCCGTCTTCAAATTTGTTGTTGTTTTTGGAAAAGGGATGAACTCGAGGGGATGAAGATATATTAGAATTTATCTTTGGGATGAAACTGTCGAAGTTAGTATAGAAGGAACAAGGATCGGTGTTGGCTTACTTAGGAAATTGTTTTTATGCTGTTATAGTCTGAATATTAGGGTAGCTACATTTTTTTATGGCGTGGTTTTAACGTTTAATGAAGCGACTATGGGAAGGGGATTATTTTATTAAGTTGAGTGCAACCACCACTATAATCATCTGACCTATTTTCTTTTCAGACAAATTTATAATGTTTTTTTTATGGGGTTCGCTTTGATAGTTAGCTTATTGACTGCAATGTATAAATTATAACTTCTCCTTTATTACAATTATATATACTGCTCAATCTACATAATTATATAAATTGAGGTGTAATGGTACCATTTGTAAGGTTTCGAATTTTATGCCACAGCGACGTTTCTTCGGGTCTAATATATCTACCACCAACCTAAAAATTATAACACATATTTTATTATTTACAAATTAACAAATTAAGTACTGTGATACTCATAGTAAATATAATCCTGCATATGTAAATGTAACGTTATATTACGCTATATTCAATAATTACAGACAATTTTGAAATATTTCTGACTTATGTCTGTTAATCTAGACAAATTTCTGATGAATGCGATACTTCTGATTTGTTCTTAACACATAATTTGTACGTTTTCTAATATAACATATAATTTTGATATATTTATCATAATTTTGTCAAATTTTTTGATGAGTTTCTGACATATATAATACAATATGACACATATGTCCCAATTAAGCGGGTTGCCATTAAACAGCGACCCAATTAAGCGAAGTAATTGGGGGATTTTAAAATATCCGGGACAACCGGATATTTTAAATATTGAAAACTTGTTTGTACGTAAAAAGAAACAATTTTAACTAACATTACTTAGATAAAACATATTTATTCAACGTTCTTTAGCTTCATTTGTTGTTTGTATAAAAACTCCTCTTTTTTAACCTACTAAGGAGATATAGGATTAGTATCAGGCGTGACTTCATCGCTACACTGTGGGAAATTATTCTTGACTTTCAAGAAAAATTTGTTCTTGAATGTATTTCTTAGAAGCAAGTATAAGATACTCTTAAAACAAAAATATTTGTTTGTTTTAAGAATAGAAATATTATCGAATGAAGTAGCACCAATCTTTTGTATCAAAAAATTCATTCTTGCGTCAATAATTTGTATAATACTCAAATGAAGAATTATACAAGATTTTTGTTATAGGAATAAGTTTTTCTAAAAAGAAAGATACGTTATTCTTGACTTAAGAAATCTATTCTCGATACGAAAATGGGATTTGGTTGACGCAACACTAAGATACTCTTTTTCAAGATTATTGATTTACTTTCACTAAGAATTTGTTTTCTTGACAATCAAGAATGTTTATATACTTGCTTTGAGAATATTTGGTTATTCTTCACTCAACAAAATGACCTTCTTGTGGATATACAAGAATATGATAAGCTTGAGCCAAGAGTAATAATCTTCGTTCAAGAATATATTTTAGGTGTGTAAATATGAAATCGGAATTTTTGTATAGAAAATACAAGTTGATTGCACCAAAATGATAAAAAATATTATATTCGAAGTATTGCCCAGTGCAAGCTATACATTTTTCCCACTTGTCTGACAATTTGTAAATGCTACGCCAAAAAAACTGTTGCTCTATTGATGCAAACCTATCAGCCTATAGATACTACAAATAAGTGGTTATCGGACGGAGCTAAGTCTGGTGAGTAAGCAGCGATTGTATTTCCCAACTAAACGTCTGTATAGTTTCCTTGGCCAGTTTTGCTATGTGTGATGATTCATTATCATGGAAAAAAATCACTTCGTGTTGCCTTTTTTTTTGATATTTTGGTCGGTTTTCACTCAAAGCTTGCTTCAAATCGATCATTTGTTGTCGGTAACATTTAGTATTAACGGTTTCGCTAGGTTTTAGAAGCTCATTATAGATTACAACCTTGTTCATTCTACCAAACACAGAGCATTGTATTCTGTCCATAGCAATTTGGCCTTTCAGTCGATATGTATGGTTTGCTTGAAGTTACCAATGATCTTTTACGCTTAGAAGAAAAACGAACTTGCGCATTTCGCAGGTCGTTTTTCGCTGTCTTTCATTCTCACTCCGTGTGGAAACGCTGTTCCCATCTTCTGTATCTCTCCCATGGCTTTCAAACGTAATGAAATTGCTTCTCGTTTTACATTTACTCGATTCCCGTGTTTTTTTGCCTTTGAGCGTCATCCCCCTCGAACTATGCTTGCATACAATTCGATTCAATTTTGAATTTTTGAAATCATTCCTAATTCACCAAGAACAGCAGTTTTTTTAAATGGCAACAAAAACTCAATGCTGTCTGCAAATCATAGCTTCCTGATATTAAATTCGACATGTTCAACGCAGTTATAAATTGTCACTTAAAAGTGCTGTCGTATGAATCTTATAGCAACATTGTGGGTTGGAAATTTTTGTGAGATATCAACAAATGGATATGGCCCGATTAGAAGTTAATTGCATTGGAAGCGATTTCATATTTATATACCCGGTAATGTTACCCACGTCACGTAATCGATTCCGATCACTATCGGAATCTCCGTCATTATTTCAAATCTCATTAGATTAGCATCTGTTTCCAAAAAATGATTCGTTAAAGCGATTCATCTATATTATTACTTGAGTAATCATTTTTTCCAAGAGTATACTTTGAACTTTGAAGCCACGATGACTACAACAATTCGGTATACACTCACTACCAATAAAATTTCTCCAACTGTCCATTAAAAATTGTATCGCTTATATCATGTTCACTTTCTAGTTAACTTCTTCAGCACTCGATATGATACCTAACTCTTCTAAATCATTGTTTTAATTTTTTGATAACCACCGTATCGTTTAGGTTGCGTTGTAATTGAATGTTTTTAGTTGGTCCATGGATGAGCTTGATAGTTATCAATTAGTAATAAAATCTTTTTAGGCTGTTTCCTGATTCTGGCCCTAATCTATTAAACAATTTTTATGTACGTATTTTTGTTATGGTATTCTACGGGCGAACTGCTTAAAGACATTCCTTTAAAAAATTAGCGGCCCTCTTTCTTTTACGTGATGATCCTCATTGATTTATCGTCTTTCCAGTTCGTTCTAATATTTAACTAATCGACTGATGATCATTTTGAACTATTACACATAACGTAGACGTCAGTAATAGGAGCTTTAACATAGTCTGAGAGGGTTGCACACAAAGGTGGGTATTCGAATATAGCGATATTCTCATTCCCGTGCAATGTCACGGAACACCTGCGCTCCTACACAGATCGCTTTACGACTCTACGTGTAACAAATGAATTAGTAATTATCATATAATACGAAGAAAAGTTATATGTACATGGAACTAATTATGTATTATGGCTTGTTCTTAGCTTTTGTCTTCCAAAATATTTTCTCAATTGGATTGGATTCAGAATTTCACGTTGTTTTTCTATATTCAGGTCTTGCAGCGAACGATATTAATCTTTTCATATTTAGGCCTACAAATGATCTTACAAGTTTTTTAAAATATCAACAAACTTTTTTCTATGCTATAAAGGAAACATTAGGCATCTACCAACATTCGTGATAGTCGGTGTTATGAAGATTCTTCTTTGATACAAACTTTCTTCCGAACTATCCGTCTTATGGGTCCCTGATCGCTGTGAAGGTGTCAACTGTAATTAACCGTTAGTTGGCTCCAAATTTTAGCCAGATGTTTTACGAAACCAAGGATTTTTCTGGGCTTTTTTTTTAAATGACACAAATTTTGAAATGCCATTATACCAAAAATGACTTTTAATTGGCAGCTGCCAAAAATTGGTAAAATAATTTTCATATATATTATGTATAATATAATAACCTTACAAATTTAGGAACGTTAAAGAAACAGAAACGACAGAGAGAAAAATTAGCAAATAATAAATGCCAACCCATATAAATCATTGCGGCTATTAAGGGAAGACACACAAATTACGCCGTGCCATCGAATTTTATAAACAAATAAATTTTTGCTGTATAGGTGCAATTTTGTTCAACATATGCGACAAACGACGATATCCGTAAGTTTCAGTTCTTGGTTGAATTTACAATTTTGGCAGAAAGAGATAACTTTCTTAATATCTATGTTGGGTGTGACCACGGGGGTTACTTTTTTATTTCTTCTTTAAATTAAATATCTTCGAATTTACTAACTTTTGAAATTAATCAAGCTGCACAGTTTTTGATGTTCTATTACATAACCTTATAAAAGGTTTGTGAAAAGTAATAATACTTAAGAAGTAAAGGCATTTAGGTCCTCTAACAAAAACTTCTTATAAAACTAAAATATCTGAACCCATTCCAGATATACTTGGCCTGGGAGTTTTAAGTGAGACAGCCTGTATATTACCGTCCCGAAGAAAATGGATTCATCGTGAATCTAATATTTTCCTTGTATTTTTCTTTAATTCCGATACTGTGTGCATGTCAACTTCGTGCTTATTTTATTCAATAATGACTTTCTGTTCTCTGTTGGCTCACAAAATTATATTCCAACAACCCATTTGTAGCATTTTAGATTTCTAAGTCATTTCTACTGTTTTCTTGCCGTGTTTTGTTTCCACAAGATCTCTTGCCTGAAACCTGATTAACATATTAAGGACCGCAGAGAAATTTGTGAGTAGTTTGAGAATCTGTTGGATTTTACAGTGATTGGTTGCTAATGAGCTACTCGATCCTATATCTTCTAATGTGCCATCGTGTTGAACTCCTTTAAAAGTTTTGGAATCTCACTGCAACCATTTCTTAAACCCCAGCGGATACGACATGAAACGTTTCTTCCACATGTCATCATTTGACACAGTTTTCTTATGCAAATTTGGCAATCTATCTACATTCTGATTCTCAATCACTTTAATAAACCTATCAGAATTCAAAAGGAATGATATAATCTATGGAAAGCCTTTATAAAAGCAAAAATTCACCTGAAATAGCAGGTAAGAATAGTTACTACGATAATTATCTTTTGCTATCTAGTTTCTTAGAAATTTTTTTATGCGTTTCGACTTAATTTCTTTTATGGCCTGTTGGAAATAGTTGTTTTCAGAAACCTTTTGTTCCCTATTTTTTATTGATCCTAAAGTCCCATTTATGAGAAAAAAATGAGTGACCTGGATGTACTTTATTTTTAACGGTTAAATGAAACTGTTAATATTCTCCACCAATATACTTATATTCTTTTAGATAAAGAAGCAACCCTCAGCTTTCACACAAAAATTTTCTCAATAGTTCTCGGTCTTTGCCAGAGATTTTCTAGATCGATGTGTAATTTACAAATCGCCTAATCATTCTGCTTACTCGTGTGTTTTTCTATGTTGTATTAATTCATTGCGTGCTGCCAACTTAAATCAATTATTATTTTTAGAAATAATAATGTATTTCTTAAAAAGTAAACTATCAAAACTTATAATTAAATGTTAAATCAAAAAATCGCTACTTTTCGAGCATGTCACGTTATACACCATTATTTCATATTGATTCATGTCAACACTTCATATAATGTTGAAAGTGTAAAGTCTAGGAATTAATTATAAAACTAATTTTTAAACAAATTTTCTATTCTACATTCTTAATGATAAAAATTAAAATCAATCTCTATTTTAAAACGTAAATTATAAAAGAATGTGTCACTCAAATTGT